AAATTCCTTGGCTGTCCATAAGCCTGGAGCCATCTCCCTGTACATCAGACTGTCTGCATGGCTTTGCCAAGGTCACTCCTTTCTCAGTTTGCCCACTGTTCACTTCTGAAAAGTGAGTCACCCAAAGAGAAAAGAGATGTCACGCCCATGGCAAAAGAAGGAAATCCAGGCTCGCCTATCTTGAAGCTTGTTTTTATCATTTTACAGTCTTCAGGAGAAAAATATGTGAGGCCAGTACTCATCTGGTCTGGAACATGGAGAAGAAGGGGATGAAGAGGGACTGTAGGACACTCATGAATGTGTATGATACCCAGGGAGACTTGGGCTGGGGAAATTTTTCCTACAGAGGTTCAGCCTCAGTGAGAAGAATAACAGTTCTTCTCGTGTATACATTGCTTTTTAGTTTATATAACATTTTGGTGGACATATTGCCTCATATGAACCTTGAAACCCTGTGAGGTGAGTAGAATGACTATTTCCTCACTTGACGTTGAAGGAAACTGACTTCAGAGGTCATGACTTGCCCAGAGTCCCTCTGGTTTTTAGATCCATGCTTTTGTATCAACTCATATTGGGATAGACGTTTGTAGTGGCCTAAGATCAAGAGAGTAATCCCAGGACCACCCCTCCTTCCTGACCAATTTTATCACCCGTGTACTTCCAAGTCAAGGATAACAAGGCGAGAGGAACAATCAGAGAAAGTCTTCATCGCTCGACAGCAGGAAGGTACAAGGGAGGGCCCCTGTCTGTCACAGTAGTCAACACTCTCCTCACCCTTCTCCCAAGGGAAGAAAGTTGCCTTTGAAGCCGGTGGCTCAGGGAAGCGGCAGCAGGAGATGCTGCATTACTTCATTCTCCCTCATTGTATCCACTCCTTTGAGCTGTGTATTACTGCTTCACAGTGACTCAGAGTAATTCACGACTTGTTTTGTGTTGGCAACTATTGGAGCTCAAATCTCATTCATCTCACGCCTCCCTACTCTGTTCTGTGTACATGATATGAGCATAGAAATAGCCCAGACGCCTCTGAGCCACACTATCTCAGCAGCCGGGCTAGGATGCAAAAGAATGGGCGCATGTGCACCTGGGGACCCTTTCAGTCCGATTCTGCCATAGCGGGCTACCACTGAGGTCCGTTAGGGAAAGCACTGGAAAACTGAGGATGAAAACTAGCTAACATTAAATTATAAATGTCCACAAGTGGAGGACGGTTAAATATATTCTGTCAATATAAGTCTTGTTTGCAGTGCAGTGGTGCGAACATGGCTCACTGCAGCCTCGAACTCCTGGGCTCAAGTGATCATCCTTGAATAGCTGGGACCACAGGTGCATGCCACCACACCCAGCTAATTTTATAATTTTTTTGTGGAGACAAGGTCTTGGCTATGTTGTCTAGGCTGGTCTCGGCCTGCACATTGTTTTTGATGTGGGAAATGCTTATGATATAATGGTGAATGAAAAAAGTCAAATTACAGGCTGGGTCAGTGGCTCACACCTATAATCCCAGCACCTTGGGAGACTGAGGCAGGAGGATCACTTGAGCCCAGGAGTTCGAGACCAGCTTGGGCAACATAGGGAGTCCCCATCTCTACAAAAAAAAACAAACTTTTTTTTTTTTTTTGAGACGGTTTCTCGCCCTGTTGCCCAGGCTGGAGTCCAGTAGTGCAGTCTCGGCTCACTGCAACCTCTACCTCCCAGGTTCAAGTGACTCTCCTGCCTCAGCCTCCCCAGTAGCTGGGATTGCTGGCGAGCGCCACCATGCCCAGCTAATTTTTGTGTTTTTAGTAGAGACAGGGTTTCACCATGTTGGCCAGGCTGGTCTCAAACTCCTGACTTCGTGGTCCACCATCTCGGCCTCCCAAAGTGCTGGGATTACAGGTATAAGCCACCACACCTGGCCAAGAAAAATTTTTTAATTAACCAGGCATGGTAGTGCACTTGTAGTCTCAGCTACTCAGGAGGCTGAGGTAGGAGGATCCCTTGAGCCCAAGAGTTTGAGTCTGTAGTGAGCTGTGATCACACCGCTGTGCGCCCACCTGGGCAATAGAGCGAGACCCCAGCTCAGTGAAAGAAAAAAAGCCAAAATATAGAATTTAAAAATAATATAGAATTTACAAGACCAGGCACGGTGGCTCACGCCAGCACTTTGGGAGGCCAAGGCGGGCGGATCACAAGGTCAGGAGTTCGAGACCAGCCTGCCCAACATAGTGAAACCCCCGCCGTCTCTACTAAAAATACCAAAAAAATTATCTGTGCATGGTGGTGTGCGCCTGTAGTCCCAGCTACTTGTGCGGGTGAAGGAGGAGAATCGCTTAAACCCGGGAGGTGGAGGTTGTGGTGAACTGACATTGTGCCACTGCACAATGCCTGGGTAACAGAATGAGACTCCATCTCAAAAAAAAAAAAAAAATAGAATTTACAAAATATAGAATGTACAAAACAGTCTCAACTTTTCTCTTTATTTTTTAAAGAAAGGGAGCAAATGCAGTTAAAGAGCATAAATCAAAAGATAGACGAACTCGTGGCCTTGTAGAAGTCATTTAACAGGCCGGGCGCGGTGGCTCACGCCTGTAATCCCAGCACTTTGGGAGGCTGAGGCCAGGCGGATCACGAGGTCAGGAGTTCGAGACCATCCTCGCTAACACGGTGAAACCCCGTCACTACTAAAACTACAAAAAAAGTTAGCCAGGCATGGTGGTGGGCACCTGTAGTCCCAGCTACTCCGGAGGCTGAGGCGGGAGAATGGCATGAACCCGGGAGGCAGAGCTTGCAGTGAGCCGAGATGGCGCCACTGCACTCTGGCCTGGGCAACAGAGCGAGACTCCGTCTCCAAAAAAAAAAAAAAAGTCATTTAACCATGCTCACCCCCGGGCACTGACTCTCCATCCAGAGTATGGGAGTGGTGAAATCTGCCTGCTAGGCTTGGTGTGAGGACTAAATGAGCAAGGGCAGGGGGATTCCGGCACATCTTCAGTGTTGTGACGTTAGTGGTGATCACTGTGATGGAATCGTGGGTGACTGCACCACTTTGTCTCTTTCTGTAGTTCTAATTTTGTGCAGTAGACGTGTGTATAGTTTTATGATCAGGAAAAAGAGTTACAGCTCTGTGTTGATTTTTCTTGTCTCCTGCCCTCCCTCTCCAAAAGAAAAGACATAAATTAAACTAGGAACTGAGAGGGATAAGTTAGACCTAGCACTGTCACCAGCCCAGTGCTCTCTCAGAGAATCACGTTGTCCTGTGTCATTCTAGGTGGCCCCAGCAGATGGCTTCTCTGATCTTGCCATGCAAGTAATGACATCTCCGTCTAAGAACTACATTCTCTCTGTGATCAGTGGGAGCATCTGTATATTGTTCCTGATTGGTCTGATGTGTGGACGGATCACCAAGCGAGTGACACGAGAGCTCAAGGACAGGTAGAGCCACCTTGACCACCAAAGGAACTACCTATCCAGTGCCCAGTTTGTACAGCCCTCTTGTATAGCATCCCCACTCACCTCACTCTTCTCTGAGGTGACACCAACCCCGTGTTAGAGCATCAGCAGGTGTCCACTGCGTTGTCCCGTCCAGCCTCCACTCATGTCCATGGTGTCCTCCTCCTCCTCACCGTTCGTGCAGCAGCAGCAGCTGGCCGCTGGGGTTACTGCCTTTGCTGGCAAACTTGGGTTTACCTGCCTGTAGACAAGTCTCTCTCATACCAACAGAACTTCCAGTACTTCCAGAACCAACTCACCTGACCTGCAACTCAAAGGCTTTTTTTAAGAAAACCACCAAAAAAAAAAAAAAAATTTTTAAAGAAAAAAATGTATATAGTAACGCATCTCCTCCAGGCTTGATTTGGGCAATGGGGTTATTTCTTTCCTATGACTGTGTAAAACAAAGACAGGACTTGGAGGGGAAGCACACCAGCCAGTGTGCCATGACTGAGGTGTCTCGTTCATCTCTCAGAAGCACCTTGGGGCCTCGCCAGGGCCATGGTCTTCACCGAGGAGTGGGTGGGCAGCCGTTCCCCAGGCTGTGTGAGGTCCTGCTTTCTTCTGCTGAGACAGTGACGCTTTGCAGTTTCTACCCTAATCAGCCACTGCTGGTCACAGCCCCACGGCCATGGGTATTTCTGTGGTCTCCTCACTTCGTTGAAGCAAAGCATGAGCCTCCCTAGACCAAGGGCAGCTGGGGAGGGGAAGGGACCGGAAGTTTGTGAAGTTGAACAATCCATCCATCTGCACTGAGAGGCTGGATCCCAAGTCCCGGGGCAGCAGGATCCCAGGAACCTTCCTCCTCCAGGGCAGCACAGGACTCAGCTGTGTCTGGACCGGCCCTGCTGAGGCTGCAGTCACTCCGGAAGCTCTGCGCTTCATCGGGAGGCGGGACTGTGGTGGGAGGGGTCCTTAAAGATGGGTGTGGGGAGCAGCGGGGCAGGAAGTGGGAGCCAGGGGTTTGACTCACTCTGCTTTATTTTTCAGGCTACAATACAGGTCAGAGACAATGGCTTATAAAGGTTTAGTGTGGTCTCAGGATGTGACAGGCAGTCCAGCCTGACCTTTCTGCACACTCCAGACAAACTTCCCAGACAAGCTCCTTTGTGCCTCCACGTGGAGAGGGTGTGGAAAGTTATCACATTAAAAGATGGAGGATTTGCTCTGTTTTTTTTCTTTTTGTCCGTTTGCTGCGTGTACCCACTCTGGTAGGCATTGGCTAAATGTTGTATTTTGGTGACTCATCAACCTTTGCAGAATATGGGCTTTATAAAAGCAGTATTCTTGGCCATCCCGCCTCATTCCTCCAGTGTGGAGATGCCAAGTCTGGGGTATGAAAGGGAGGAGTCTGGACATCATAGTTCAGCCTGGCTGTCCTTTGGTTTAGTTTGGCGCATGAGATCACAGTGGCTGCACAAGAGAGCTGTGTGTACAGTAGGAGATATATTTATATAATATATATTTTATTAACCTGTTAGATGTCCACAAAGTATTATAAATCACGTGCCTAAAACTGTCCATGTAGACCAAGGCCCGCCCTCGGTGCCCCCGACTCCTGCCTCTGCTCTGCACGGTCCATGCACGCTGCAGGACCAGAGCGACACTCGTCTTCCCTTGAACGGTGTTCAGTACAAGGCGTGTCAGTTTGTGGATCAGTTGATCCAAGTTACTCCTTGTCTAATCTGACTGACATATATTTGAATACTGTGGTTTTCTTTCTTTTTTTCTACTTTGCTGCCCTTCCTGGAGGCAGTGGGTTCCAGAAGCCAACTGATTGTCCCCCTGCCAAGTCACCAAGGGAAGCTGCTAAGCTGCTTAGTCCCTTCGGTCCTGCTCGTAGGGTCTTCCTGATTGTCCACAGCTGTCTGGGATGCTTCAGTCTCCTAAAACTGGAAACTCAAGGGTGCGAGCAGCACACACTGCCTCCCGCCACTGCCAGCCAGACTGAGTGGCCCGAGAGTCTCTGCAGGTCCCCTGGGGGCTGGGGACCGCTGAGGCTTAATCTCAAGAACCAGGAATGTCATGTCCATGCAGGTGTCTACGGACGTGTCTGGTGTGGTTTGCAGGTAGGATGGATGTTCACTATTTGACCGGGTGGGGTATCCTTCCTCTCTGCAGTCTCCTTCCCAGTATGCGGAAACACCCTTAAAGTTCTAATTGTCTTGATATTTCTGTTCTTTCTGAATTGAGAGAAAATCCCATTCATCGTCTGCAGATTTGGAAGTTTGATGAGGAATTTTGTTCTTGAAACATCT